AACTTCCATTATTCAAGATCTAATCCTGGAAGAACAAGCTGACCTGGCTTGTATAACGGAGACCTGGTTGGATGAGGGGGGAGGGGTAAATCTCTCCCAACTCTGTCCGCCAGGCTACTCCGTTCAGCACCAACCAAGGCTTGGAGGGCGGGGAGGTGGAGTCGCAGTGGTCTATAAGGTTTGTATTCCCCTGATCAGGTGCCCCATCCCACAGTCGTCTTCTTTTGAGTGTGCCGGCTTTAGGATAGGTGACCGGGACAGGATAGGGATTCTGTTGGTGTACCGACCACCCCGCTGCACAACAGTCTCCTTACCTGAGCTAGCGGGAGTGGTCTCGGACTTGGCATTGAGCTTCCAACGGCTTGTGGTCTTGGGGGATTTCAATGTCCATGCCGAGACCTCTCTTATGGGTGCAGCTCAGGACTTCATGGCCGCCATGGCAACCATGGGCCTGTCCCAATTAGTATCTGGTCCCACCCATAGTGCCGGGCACACACTGGATTTGGTCTTCTCTCAAGGATGGGGTGAAAGTGACGGGGTGGAGGAGCTGACCATCGCTCCATTGCCATGGACCGATCACCATCTGATCAGGTTTAGACTCACTGCATCTCCTAACCTCCGCAGGGGTGGTGGACCTATTAGAATGGTCCGCCCCAGGAGGCTTATGGAGCCAAAAGGCTTCCTGACAGCTCTTGGGGAATTCTCCACCTTCTTGGCTGGCAACTCTGTCGATGTCTTGGTCTCTCGCTGGGATAGGGAAATGACCAGGGCAATCGACACAATCGCTCCGGAACGCCCCCTCTCGAGTAACCGAGCTAAACCTGATCCTTGGTTTACCGAGGCGCTGGCAGCGATGAAGCGAAAGAAGAGGAGGCTAGAGTTCGTGTGGTGCCGGAACCCCACCAACCCTGCCCAAACACACCTGAATGCCTTCCTAAGGTCCTACGGTGTGGCGATAGCAGCGGTACAGAAAACATTTCTTGCCGCCAACATTGCATCTGCGAAGAACCGTCCAGCTGAGCTGTTCCGAGTTGTCAGGGGTCTGTTAAATCCGCCGAAAAGCGAGGCCCCTGATAACACGGTAGCTCGCTGTGAGGCATTTGCTCGATTCTTCGCGGATAAAATTGCGCGGATTCGGTCGGGCTTTGATGCCATATTAACAGCAGTCTCTGGGGATGTAACGAGAGCATCTGCTTGTCCAGTTTTGTTGGATTCATTTCAATTGGTTCAGCTTGAGGATGTGGACAGGATCCTTGGAGAGGTGCGGCCTACCACATGCATCCTAGACCCCTGCCCATCCTGGCTGATAAAGGAAGCCAGAGGGGGTTTGGCAGAGTGGGTGAAGATGGTGGTTAATGCCTCCTTACAAGAGGGAAAGTTTCCAGCGAGCTTAAAACAAGCTATTATAAAACCGCTATTGAAGAAACCATCACTGGATCCCACTCAATTCGACAACTATCGGCCAGTTTCCAATCTCCCCTATTTGGGCAAAGTCATGGAACGTGTGGTGGCAACACAACTCCAGGGGTTTCTGGTAGACACTGATTATCTAGATCCGGCACAGTCTGGCTTTAGGCCGGGACATGGTACTGAGACAGCCTTGGTCGCCTTGGTAGATGATCTGCGCCGGGAGCTTGACAGGGGGAGTGTGTCCCTGTTAGTTCTGCTGGACCTCTCGGCGGCCTTTGATACCGTTGATCACGGTATCCTCCTGGGACGCCTCATAGATATGGGGCTCGGGGGCACTGCCTTGCAGTGGCTCCGATCCTTTCTTGAGGGACGGTCCCAGAAGGTGTTATTGGGTTGTTGTGTGGAGTTCCACAGGGTTCAATCCTGTCCCCGATGTTATTTAACATCTACATGAAGCCGCTGGGGGAGATCATTCGGAGT